TGGAGGCTGGGAAGATCTTGGGGTATGTCTCGGTGCATTGCGTCAGCAGCATACTTACATCAATAAACGTTCAAGCGATACCGAGCTATACAAACACACAGAAACTGGCGACCATAGGAAGCAGGATGAGACAGAGGAGCGGGATGAGGATCAGGAGGTCAGTAGTCATGGATGCTCGAGCTCAGAAGTTTCGAAAACTCAATGCGATCAGATATTCTGGGCCACATGTGAGTGCTTCTGCCCTCGCCAATCTTTGCAGTTTAGCGAATCAAGACGAGTTGCCAACTATATCTCGGAGGGGCGATGTCAGACGGGCCAGGGACCTGGAGCTCGAAGGAGACACGCCGTATGGACCCCTCCTGGTAAATCTTCGGCTTCAGCTTTCCAAGGGGGGAGAATCCTTGATTGAAGTTGCGAATCCCTTGCCATATCTGTATCGAGCTGGCCAATGTTTTCATTATGGGCGTTTGCTTAAGCGCACATTTGAACAATTCCCTTGTAGCGCTGATAGGCCGTGGGGCCTAGCAATATATTCAGACGAGGCGAAAACAGGAAACAAGCTCAAACAAGACAACAAACGTTCGATGCAATGTTGCTGCGCTGCATTTCTAGAGTTCGGCCCTGCTGCCCTTGCAAAAGAGGATTATTGGTTGACCCTGGCGACCTGCAAATCCAGTGCTATTTCTCAATGTGACCATGGCATGGCACAGCTCACAAAGGCACTTCTCAAGCTGTTCTTCAATCCAGGTGGACACGATTTGCGTTTGTCTGGGGTTTCTGTTGATCTGGAAGATGGGTCTACGATCAGGATACTGGGTCTAACGCCAACTACCCCCCTCGAGAGAGGTTGGAGGAGGTGGAGAAAAGGAAGGAACAGGAGGGGAGGAGGAGGAGGAGGAGGAGGTTGAGGAGGAAGAGGAGAGGGAGGAGGGAGATAAGGAGATGAAGGAGGAGGGGGAGGGGATGCAGCACTTGTTTTCGATTTCGCCCGAGGATCTTCGCCACGCTGCGGTGTGCAATGGGGGACGAGTCTGGACTCCACCAAGTGTGGTGCTGCAAAGGCTCTGCTGGGGTTAAGTGTTGCATGCAATGCCAAAATATCGTTCTGAAATCGTGGATGGCTGCCGATTCGATCAGTGCCGATTCGTATTGCAAATCATATTTGGACGTGCACACCTTGAGCGATTGCAAGTTACATACCAAAGCAACTGTTCTTGCAATTGTTGATGACCTCGCAGCTGCAAAGAGTGTGTTGAGAAAGGGTGAGATGGAAAAAAAGAGACTAACCTTGGGTGGTCGTACACGCCTCACAATTTGCTGTATGACGACTGCTTGAGAAAAATAGTGGGCCCGACCAGCCAGAACTGCTACGATTGGACACACAATGTTCTTCAAGGGATCTTTCAAACTACGGTGTATTTATGTTTGAGGGAAGTTAGCGCGAGTGGCATCACCTTTCGACACATTCGCCTTTGGCTCCAGAATTGGCGCTGGCCTGGACGGGTCAATAGCAGGGGGGCAACAGGTGTAGATATGAGTAGTGAAAAGCGTGGTCGGACATCTTGGGGATCTGAATATTTCAAATGCAGTGCGTCTGAGGCTCTCAGCATACACGCCCCCCTGGCCCAATACTTCCGAGCTGTAGTTCTGCCAACACGTAAGCACATTGGTGTGTGTCATGTCATGTTTGCTCTGTCATTGCTCATTCACATTTTCTTCTACGGCGTCAAGATTCGCATACCATCGGCCAGAGTTCAGGAAGCCACAGACAATTTCATCAAATGTTTTGTTGATGTGTTCGGAACAAGCCCGTTCATCTGGAAGTTTCATGGGGTTCTCCACCACAGCGCCTACTTCGATCGATGGGGGTGGTCTCCAGGAACGATAGCATTGGAAAGAAAACACAAAACCGTTTTGAGATATGCTGCCGATAAGGTTGAGGTAACCCCCGTGCTTCGAGAAATATTGGCGAAAAGCTTTCACGACCTACAGAATTCAGATTGGCTAGACTTGACCCCCAGGTTGCTGCACATCAAAAACCCAACCAAGAAAATGAAGCTCATGCTTGACGATTGGTTTGGAGTAGCTGGCTACCGTTATTCTCAGGCGTGTCGGTTTTCTGAGTTTGACACTGCTTGGGCACGAGACGTTGTGGCTATGGCGGATCCTTCTGGATGGATTGCAGCTCGCGTTGAGTTTTTCATTTCAACATCTCAGGGTGATTTTGCTTCAGTGCAGCCGTATGCACTGAGAGAGCAGAATAAGTGGTCGAGCTCGTGGGTGAGGAACGGTGGCCCGTCCTTGAGATGGATATCGGAATTCAGGGAGACGTTGATTCACTGTGAGCAAGGGGATGTGCTCACGGTGCTGCACCCGCTAAGTTTGGTCGCCTGACACGCAGAGGCTACATGATCATAATCCTGGCCCTCCTCATTCTCCTCTGTCATCCTTCTTGCTGCCGCTCGTCTTCCCTGTGCCTACTTCGCTGCCATCCCGATGTTCCTAACAATCTTCCTGTCATTGATCGCCTTTCCCCATTCTGTGTCTGCGGATTTTGTCAACGAGACTCCTGATAATGTCGTGGCTGACGCCAGCAACCGCCATGCCCTTGGGTGGCAATTCCAGCGAGTGACCTCCCCGCTAAACAAAAACCCACCCTCTGGAGGAGGAAGTGGAGGAGGAGAAGGAGGAGGAGAAGGAGAAGGATGGGGTGGAGGAGGAGAAGGAGGAGGCGGAGGAGGAGGAGAATGAGGAGGAAACGCAAGCAAAATCAACATCGATGCCAACCATTTTTTCTTCGTGGCAACGCCTGCTAAGCCGTTTGCTAAGGGTTAGCAAACCCTTAGCTAAGGGTTGGTAAACTGATCCAAGCTGGCTTAGCAACTCGAGCTAAGCGGGCCGAGGCTTTAGCTAAACCCTTTACCAACTCCTTAGTAAGGACGCCGACCTAAACCGTTGCAAGGAGTTCGGTAAAGGGTTAGCAAATCGTGGTAGCGGAGCCCAAGGCCTAACATCTCTTGCTAAGGATAAGCAAACCAACCGTGCATCCAAGTGGGGGGTTTGGGGGAGGGGGGTCCCCTTGGTTTTGATCGACTGCGCCGAGTGTTGGGGGGGGGCCCACCCCCCGGCTTGAAACGCGCCGCCGAATGTTCCCAATACAAGCGCCCGTGAAACGCGTTCTCTCTCGTATGTATGTATGTATGTATGTATGCATGCATGCATGCTTGCATGCATGTATGCGTGTATGTATGGATATATGCATGCATGTATGCACGGCTGTTTGTCTGCCTGTCTGTCTGTCTGCCTGTATTTATGCCTGTCAGTCTGCATGTGTGTATGTATGTGTGCATGCATGTCTGTATGTATGCATGCAGGTATTCGTTTGTGTGTGTATGTATGTATGTATGTATGTATGTATGTATGTATGTATGTATGTATGTGTGTGTATGTATGTATGTATGTATGTATGTATGTATGTATGTATGTATGTGTGTCTCTATGTATGTCTCTATGTATGTATGTATGTATGTATGTATGTATGTATGTATGTATGTATGTGTGTATGTGTGTATGTATGTATGTATGTATGTATGTATGTATGTATGTATGTATGTACGTAAGTATGGATTCGTGTTTGTGGTGTTGCCTGTATGTATATATGAATGCATGTATGTAGGCGTGTATGCAGTTGTGGATGCACGTATGTGTGAATGCATGCGTTTGAAAAGTTCGGTTTACATGAATATGTATATACACATACATACACAAGTCGACATAAACACATACAGGTCTTCGCACGCACCATGGATCCCCTTGTCCTCCTGATAGAACCCAGGACGAAAAGAGCGTTTAATGTGCGCGCGGCCGCCGAAGGGGACGGAAGGAGTTGAGTAGAAGGATATACTCAAGTTCACCGTTGGGAAAGAGTTTGTTAAGTACCGGGTGTGACGTTTGAGACGGAGGCTGTAGAACATCGGGTGTGGTGGTGGAGTCGAAGGGACTTGAAAAGAAGGATCATTTGAAGCTCATCTTGGCGAGGGAGACTGTTGAGTGTTGGGTGTTGTAGTGTCGAAAACGAGGCTGTGGAGTACTGGGTGTGGTGGTGAAGACGGAGTGAGTTGAGCAGACGTAGTTTTTCGAACTGATTTTGGGGAGGGAGCTTGTTGAGTATTGGGTTTGGTGTTGGAGACGGAGGCTGTGGAGTAGTGGGTGTGGCGGTGGAGGCGGAGGGAGTTGAGTACAAGGATATTTTCAAGTTCATCTCGTGGAGGGCGTCTGTTGAGTATCGGGTGCGGTGTTGGAGAGGGACGCTGTGGAGTACTCGGTGTGGTGTGGTGGTGGAGACTGAGGGAGTTGAGCAGAGGGATCTTTTCAATTTCGTCTCGGGAGATGGAGGCTGTGGAGTGCTGGGTATGGTGGTGGAGACGGATGGAGTTGAGTTGAATTGTTCCCAGTTCATCTTGGGAAAGGATCTTGTTTAGTATCGGGTGTGGTGCTTGAGACGGAGGCTGTGGAGTATTGGGTGTGGTGTGAGAGATTGGGGGAGTTGAGTAGAAGGACATTTTCAAGTTCACCTTGGGGAGGGAGCTTGTTGAGTGTTGGGTGTAGCGTTTGAGACGGAGGCTGTGTACGCCCTCCGGAAGCCCCGACGGAGGCGCCCCGAGCGCCTCGCGAGGCCTCAAAGCATGAAGCAGCGCCGCTCCGTCGCCGTCGTCTTTGTCGACGTCGCCGTCGTCGCCGTCATCGCCGTCGCCGTCGCCGCGGCGGCGGCGGCGGCGAGCCGCCGATAGACCCAGAGTTATGTCGGGCGTGTCCCCCTACAGGGGGATCTTCGACGAAAATGAAAAATACGCCAAGAATGCCCCCAAAAGGTGAGAAAATATCCCCCAAATAGTCCCCAGACTATTTTTGGATTATGTTTTGATTATTTTGGGGGCATTTTTGATTTTTCGTCGAAAATCCCCATGTAGGGGGACAGGCCCGACATAAACCCGGAGGGCCGACGGCGCTCGGCGCTGCCGTGGCCCTGGGCTCCAGCGCCGGCCGGTGGCCGCGCAGCGCGGCGGGCTGCCGGGGCGCGGCCCCCCGGCTCACGGAGCTGAGGGGCGCCAAGGACCGCCCAAGTTCTTCTGCTGCCACCACTCCTTCCTTGTCCTCCTCCTCCTCCTCCTCCTCCTCCTCCTCCTCTCCCACCTCCTCCTCCTCCTCCTCCTCCTCCTCATCCTCCTCCTCCTCCTCCTCCTCCTCCTCCTCTTCTTCCTCCTTGAAGAAGAAGAATAAGAAGAAGAAGAAGAAGAAGGAGGAGGAGCGCAAAACACCATAAGGAGGAGCAGGAGGAGGAGGAGGAGGAGCAGGAGGAGGCCTCCTCCTCCTCCCTCCTCCTCCTCCTCCTCCTCCTCCTCCTCCTCCTCCTCCTCCTCGTCTTCTTCCTCCTCCTCCTCCTCCTCTTCCTCCTCTTCCTCCTCCTCCTCCTCCTAATCCCCCTCCTCCTCCTCCTCCTCCTCCTCCTCCTCCAGGATTACGTAGCCATTGTGGCTCGAGTTCGCAGCGGGAGGCTCCGGGACTTGGAGAGCCTCCCATGTGCGCCAGTTGGTCTATGATCTCAGCCACGCCCTCTACGCCCACGCACGATCGGAGGCTACGGCGTCCTGCGCCCTGCCCAACCGGGCACGTGCACTTCGGTGCTCGGTGCCAGCGCTGCTCCGCTCCGCTTCGCTCCGCTCTTCCTCCTCGTCCTCCTCGTCCTCCTCGCCCTCCTCCTCCTCCTTTCCGCTAGCCTGCGACAGATACGTGCGTTACTTATTACCTGGTGGGAAGGACAGTGTATCACACATGCGACGGTTGTTTTGCGAGCTTCCTCAAGCCACGTGAGCGTCGGCACCACCGTTCAAGGGCCCGGGCCCCCCCCCGCGCTGACTCCCAAGGGTCCCACTCCCGCAGGTCTGCGCGCTTCGCCTCGCTTCGCGGCATTTGTCTCCCCCCCGGGTGTCGACCGCCCGGGGACCGGCCTGGGTCCATCCCCCGACCGATCCCACGCTTGGGGTTTTTTAAAGTTGAGTCGGGCATGTCCCTCTGCAGGAGGAATCTCAAAAAATAGTCAAAAAAAGTCCCAGGACGATGTTGTTTCTTTCATTTCTGACCGTTTTCGAATATGATTTGTATTGCTTGCGTCCACGATCCGCCAGTAGGACATGCCCGACCTAAGGTTTGCGTCAGGTTCGCGCCGCGCCGACTCGAAGGCGACGCAGGCCTGGGCCTTAGGGTGGAAAGGTGGCGCGCGGCCCGACCCCTCGGCCAGCATTGAGCAGCATCTGCTGCCAGAGGGCCACGGTCCTGCGGCATCAGCTCATGGGAGCCTGGTAGATACCCTCTGAACTCCGTCCAGCGTCGATGAGCGTCGGGGAGTTGATGAGTCGGGGGCGGACAGAACCCCCAACAGTGACACGTCGATTAGTGAATTGTCCGTTTTCGGCTCTCGAGAGGGCGCCGCGGCCGTTATTTTCCAGGCTTGCACCCGCCAGGTTTGGGCCTCAGGTTGTTTTCACTACACCACGTTTTACTAAAGGGAGGTCTGTCCATCCCCGAATGAGATCGCGCCGATGTTTGCGTCGGCTAGCGTCGATTGGCGTAGATTTCGCGTCGATGAGCGCCGGTTTAGCGTCGACGAGGGTCGATTCGCAAGGGCCGACCAGATGGTACGGGAGGCTCCCATGATCGGAAACTGGAACATATACACTACCAGCGGCGTGCTGCTCTTCACTCCCTGGACTTCTTGAGGGTCACGGACGACGTCGGGGTGGTTTGGCGTATAGTTGCTTCCCAGTGTTCCGGGGGAAGTGGTGAAACATGTATGCACCAACATCCCGTATACACCAGGATTTGCTTTCCTGTGCGAGTTTCGGTGCAGGGCCAGAAACAGCGTCGGTCTATAGAGCTCGGTTCCCTACATGAGTTACCACCGAACGACCCTCACGGTTGAGCGGTTCTGGCAGGGACAAACTCAGCGCGCGCACGCCGTCACGACAGCAACGGGGCCTAGCAGCAATGATCCCGAGGCGTGCCCCACGGTCTCGCGGAGCACGTCTCCGAGTCAGTGGATCTGAATGTCTTTGGCAGGGCTGGACCTAAGCGGTGTTTTTGGCGATTTCGTGGGCCGTTTTCGTTTCGACTTCGTTTTGCAGCAAAGGTGGATTGGAGACAAAAGCGAGGGAAAACGAAAACAAAACGAAAACGAAAAACACTGTTTAGGTTCAGGCCTGATCTTGGGCGCAGACCTACAGTGTAAGTCGGGCATGCCACATGTCCCTCAACAGGGGGAACATCCAAAAATCGTCCAAAAATAGTCAGGAGACTATGTTTCTATGAGTTTGGTGTATTTTTGTTTAAACTATGCTTCGTTATGCTTTCACCTTTTCATTAAAATCCGCTTGTAGGGGGACATGCCCGACCTGAACCTACAGTGGACACCTATGCCAAGAAAAAACACCCTGGTTGCCTCCAGGGTGCCCTGGGTTCCTTGGTCTTCGATCGTTTTTGCGATGACAAGCGTGACGTTCCCAAACCAGACACCCATGGATCTCCTGGAGTCTCAGGGTTGGGCTTCTTTTGGAAGGCTTCTTGTGTCAGGCGATCGCACACATGGATTCAGGGGGCGTGGATTAGCGACGGGTCCCGTTTCCATGGGAAATCTCTGATCTCCGCCGCCGAGCGAGGCGCCACCGGCCGCATCTTGGGGAGGGTACCTCCCCCGATCCATGGACTTGGCGAGCGCGCGCCAAGTCCATAGATCGCTGATCCATGTTTGCGCGCCCCCGATTTTGGAAGGCTTTTTTTCAGGAGCGGAAAAAACACACAGACACAGTTAATCGTCGATTCCCAAGAATGTATGGGAAAGTATGGGAAGTGGGTGGGAAGTCAGAAACCCAGAAAATATTGGGAAATATGGGGAATCCCGTTATTTTTATTAATCGCTTCGCTCATTCCGCTGGCCCTGGAGCCCTCTTTAGGCCTCTTGGGGGCCTCTTGGGGACCTCTTGGGAGTCTCTTGGGGCTCCTTGGCGGCGTCTTGGGGGCCCCCAGGGCCTCTTGAGGGGCTTTTGGGGGCCTCTTGGGGCGGGAGGGGGGGTAGTCGATTGCGGCGCCCCCCTCGGAGGCCACGATCTTCGTGAGGGGTGTCGAAAAATGGCCCTCCCCTGGAGTGCTCTGGTGGCTTCTCCCGGGACCTTGCTGGTTTTTTTTTCGTCCGGAGGCCCCAAGGGGCCGCTCCGCGCGCGCGAACTAGAAATCGGAGGTGAGGGGGTGAGATCGAAGTGGAACGGAGAGCCCCCCTACCGGGAAATCGGTTTCGGTTTCGTGTTCGTGCGTGCCGCGCGTGCGGGCGAGGCGAAGCTGCGTGGGCGGGCGAGAAGAAAGTCTCCTCCGGCTGAGGCGCGGCCGGACCAAATGATTCCTTTCCGGGCCGATTTTGAAGGGGAACGACGACAACGGCGGCGGCGGCAACGACGACGACGCTGACGTGGGTCAGAGGCCGCATGGATGCATCTTGGGGTCTTTTCGAAGCGCTCCCGGGGGCCCCTAGGGAACAGCTTAGGCTTAGGAGCCTCTTGGGAGCTTCTTGTGGGCTTCTTGGGGGCCTCTTAGGGGGCCTCTCGGGGCTTCCTGGGGGCCTCTTGGGGGCCTCTTGGGACCTCCCAGTGCGGTTGTCTATACCGCGATGTATTCTTCGATTCCTTCCGCAACGGCGTCGACAGCGGGAAGCCATGCGCGCAAACGCCCTGCGTGCGCAGGTGGGGGCGCGCTCCAGCCCGACTTTGTTACTGTACGGGCATGGGTTCGGACATCGTTTGGCGGCGCGCAGAGGGGGGGGGAATGCTTCTTATAAGGAGGCTGCTTCTTAGAAGGCGCCGGCCTTACATTTGTAGACAAGGCCGCGGCTTCTAAGAAGCAGGGGTGCTTCTAAGAAGCCGTCCCCCCTCCCCATACCCCCCTGTGCGCGCCGCCAAATCGTGGCGGGGAGAACGTTACGGTGGGTGGACAAGACATGTCCACGCGTGTCTTGCCAAGACCTCGAGTTATCAGCGCGCGTCGGACCAAAATGTCTGCCGCCTTCCTCCGAATTCGAAGCTGACGGGTGTGGGCGGTGGGCCAAAGGCCGGGGACAAAATGTGGACATTTCAATGTTGGGTTTGGGGGGAGGGGTACGAAGCAAGGGCATTTCGCAGTTGTGTCTGTTATCACGTTGCATCGCCTTACCGCCATGGGTGTGGACACTTTTGGTCCGGGCACCAGAGCGCGAGGCATGATAGAACGACGCGGAAGCACCGAGGGACACGGTAACGCCACAAGACTCGACGGAGTTCAACCTTGAACGATCGGGGCCGCGATCGGTTCACGGTTGAAAGATCGACGCGGTGTCTAATTTTTTTTCCGCCCGCCGACGCCGCACGAATTTAGTGTACCCCTCCCCTCACTCCCTCCGCGCACTGGGGCCAAGACATCCGCGGCTCAGCTGCCTCGATACGCCCGTCTTGAAATGCAACACGTACCGTGCTCACAACGTCCGTGTCAACACGTTACGTGTTGGCTCAGCGTGTTGGCCCACGCTTTGGCGAACGGGTCGCGTCAGACCTGCGCGCTCGGTCTGCGTGCTGAGAGCTCCGTATCGGTACGCCACGTGCTGCGTGTGGCGCATCGGTGCAGCGAAGATCGGCGGAGGGCTCGGCCCAGCGCGCTCAGGCAAGGCCAGGCGGCGCCTGGGGCTCGGGTTATGTCGGGCCTGCCCCCCTACAGGGGGATTTCCGACGAAAAATGAAAATTACACAAAAATGCCCCCAAAAGGTCAAAAGATACCCAAAAAATAGTCCCCAGACTGCTTTGGGATTATTTTTGGATTCTTTTGGAGGTGTTTTTAAGTTTTCGTTGAAAATCCCCCTGTAAGGGGGACAGGCCCGACTTGGGGATCGGGGCACGGGACCGGGGGAGCCTCGGGCGGGGCGGGGTGGCGCGAGGGCTCGGCCCAGCGCGGCGCCCGGCCGGCCTCGGGCCGCGGCTGCTCGAGGCGCCCGAGCAGTGTGGCGCTGCATTGTGTCGGGCATGTCCCCCTACAGGGGGATTTTCGACGAAACATTAAGATACCCCCAAAAAACTCAAAAGGGTGAAAAATACATAAAAAATAATCCCCAGACTATTTTTGGCGTTGCATTATGTCGGGCCTGTTCCCCTACCGGGGTGTTTTTCGACGAAAAATTTCAAAAATACCCCCAAAAGACCCCCAAAGGGCCACAAATATTCCAAACAAATAGTCCCCGTATCATTTTTGGACAATTTTTTGATTATGTTTGGGGTATTATTTTTGATGTTTCGTCGAACATCCCCCTGTAGGGGGACAGGCCCGACTTGAGCGTTGCATCTTCGGGGGGCGTCGGCCGTCCCCAGAGCCGGCAGCTCTGCTCGTGCCCGACGTGGGCTTGCTGCGGACTCGGCGCGGGCTTGCTGTGTATTCGACGCGGGCTCGATCCGACGAGGCCGGCACGGACTCGGCACGGATCCCTTTGGACGCCCGAAATGGGTACGATACGTCCCTGTCGTGCCGACCAGCGGCGACCCCGCCGCCGGCGTTCAACGTTGAATGCCGGCGGCGGCCCAGAATCGGTCGATGTTGAACGATTGGACGGAGCGGAAACGGCCGATCGTTCAAGGTTGAACGATCCCCGCGGTGTCAGGAACCAAGGCCGGAGTCGGCACGACACGAACCTGTCGTACCGAAAGAATGGGTACAATGCCCAACAGCAGTTCCTGTTCATTTTGAACAGGACTCGCTGTCCGCGCCGCCGCGGCCTGTGTCCATTTGAGGCAGAAGGCCGCCCGCCCTACAGCGGCCGCTGATGGTTTGGGACAACATTTGTTGTTGGGCATTGTACCCATTCTTTCCGTACCCATTTCGGGCGTCCAAAGACGCGGACAGGGCCGCGACGGATAGACGAGGCCTCCCGAGTATGCAGCATGAGCAGAGTCGAGGCGCCCTGGCTTGCCAATGGGCACACCAAAGAATTGTCTGAGAGCCTGTTGTGGTTTCGCGCGACATGTTGTCACAACCTGCTGTGCTGAGACCGTCTTGCTTCAACACAGCGGCTTTGTAAGGGGAACGAAGAGTGGCATAAACATAGAAACTCGGAGGTCCGCGCGGATTTCTCGGATCGGCGCTGGGCCCCCCTGGCGGCGCCTCCAGCGCCGCCCCTGGCGCGCTCCGCGCGCCAGGGAGGGGGGTCCAGCGCCGATCCGAGAAATCCGCGCGGACCTCCGAGTTTTTATGTTTATGCCACTTTTTGTTCCCCTATGTGTGCTCTGAGGGCACTGTCTGTTCTGGACCACGCCCTTTTGTTCTGAGAGCGTCTCGTGGCAGGCCCAATTCCAGGAATGCCCGGACGGCCGGTCCCTGCCCAATGCTCGGGGGCACCTCCGGCGGTGGGAGGCGCCCTGGAGAGCCGGAGCCCCCCCGCGGCGTGGCAGAACCGCCGCGGGGAGGCCTGCGCCGCGTCCGGCTGCGGGGCAGAGGGGGCCCTGGCTTGGCCAGCGGGGGCCGTCAGAGAGCGACCCAGGATGGCAGTTATTGTCAGGAGGAGACAAATCACATGCACAATTCATCGTCGATTTCCTAGAACATTTGGGGAAAATGCGAAACTATGGGAAGTGGGGGGGAAGACAAAAACCCAGAAAATATTTGAAAATATGGGAAATCCTGTTTTTTTATGTATTTGTTTGTGTTTCTCAGGGCCCTTTATACTGGCCCCGAGGAACGGGGTCGGGGGACATCCCCGGGGGGGTGGGTCGTATCAAAAGAGACAGTCTAGGCCTCCTAGATGGGGTCGGAGTTGATGGGGTCGGAGGATCGCGCCGCATCGCCGATGCATCGCCGATGCGGCTCGATGCTGGAGCCCGATTGTCTCCGCGCAGGCGTCGCTGACGCATCGCCGACGTCGACGATGCATCGCCGCTGCATCGGCGATGCATCGCCGATGCATCGGCGATGCGGCGCGATCCTCCGACCCCATCTACCTCGACCCATTCAGGCGGCCTTCAGACAGGGCGTCGTGTGTCTTGGGCCCGGAGAGGCCAGAGCAGAAGCGCGGCCTCGTCCCCCTCTTCTATTTGTCCCTCTGCCGCCTGTCTCGCAGTCTTGCCGCCCCTGCCCGTCATGGCAGAAAAATAATCGGGTGCGGCCAAGATGGGGCTGATGACTAGGGGGGGGATATAATGGCGTGGGCCATGATATTTCATGGCGCCTCTCCTTACTTCATTGCGTTTCTGGCCAACCCCCCTGGGCCGCGCACATGCCGCCGGCGATTTGCGCCCCTCCCCTCTTGGACGCCCTCCTCGTGGCCGCCCCCGAAAAGAGCCCCCAACCCTAATAACAAGATGAAGACGTAGCCTCGCTGAGGCCCCCGTCTCTGCATCAGGGATCGTACACCTGGACGGTTGGGCCTGACCTCTGCAGAAGAGACCCCCCTTGTGCCTAATGTTTCTGGCCCTCCTGACTCAGGCACCCTCCCGAATGGGTCAGGGGTCCCTTTCTGGGTTGATCACGAGAGATCCGCGCGGAGCGCCAAAATTTTACGATCGTGCCGTGGTTTCTCTCCTTCGATCGCCTGGGGTTCGTCTGGTGAGTCGGCTCGCGCCCGAGCTCGCACCTCGGGCCGGGAGGACCCCGAGGATTTGTAGGACGCGTGTCGGCCCGGAGCGTGTTTTACCCCGTGCGGCCCCGCCGATATGTATGTATCTATGTATGTATGTATGTATGTATGTATCTATGTATGTATGTATGTATGTATGTATGTATGTATGTATGTATGTATGTATGTATGTGTGTATGTGTGTATGTGTGTATGGATGGATGGATGGATGGATGGATGGATGGATGGAGGGAGGGAGGGAGGGAGGGATGGATGTATGTATGTATGTATGTATGTATGTATGTATGTATGTATGTATGTATGTATATATATGTGTATGCATATAAATATAGAGAGAGATATTCACGTATGGATATGCAGGTAACTAAGAGTATGCATACATAAGGTACATGTAGATATAGCATGCAGCCTGCGCTGGCCTTCGAGGCGCCGCTGGGTGCGCCGTGCTTTGGCGGGCTGTGGTGGGCAAAGGGCACACGTTGGCGCCAGCACGCTCCTCCTCCTCCTCCTCCTCCTCCTCCTCCTCCACTTCCTCCTCCTCCATCTCCTCCTCATCCTCCATCTCCTGCTCCTCCTTGTCCTCCTCATCCTCCATCTCCTCCTCCTCCTCCTCCTCCTCCTCCTCCTCCTCCTGCTCCGCCTCCTCCTTCTCCTCCGCCCCGAGGATCGCCGAGGGGCCCAGACCTCCTGGGCGGAGCGCCCCCCCCCCAGGCAGCGGCTTCTCTCGAGGAAGGAAAAACCACGCCACGATTAGGATGTTCCAGCTTACTTTAGCCTGGATCACAAGAAAGAATTTGGAGCGCCAGAACAGTACCCCCAAACTTACGGTTTTCACGTGTCGGGCCCTGGGAGACACTCGTCCGACACCGTTTCGACACCATCTCGACACTCTCTCGACACTTGTCCGGGTGCTTGAGATTATTTCTGGGATGTGGTCCTCAAGCACGATGGGAGCAACATAGCGCTATGAACAGAAACTTTCGGCGCTCCGCACGGATGGCACCCCCGGCGGCGCCTCGGGCGTCGCCACTGGCGCGCTCCGCGCGCCAGTGAGGGGGTCCAGCGCGGATCCAAGATCATTGAGAGCAAAAGGACCCCCAAATCCTCATAACCCGATGAGGACGTGGCCTCACCGAGGTCCCCGTCTTCACGGTAGGGATGCTGGATCTGGGCGCTTCGCACTGGCACATCTGCAGAAAAGATCCCCCCTTGTCCCTGATGTTTCTGGCCTTCCTGACTCAGGTGCCAGCCCAAAGGATCAGGGGCTTTTCGGGGGTTCATCACAAGAGATCCGCGCGGAGCGCCACAAGTTTCTGCTCGTGCCGTGCTTCCTTCTTCGACCCCCCTGGCGCCACAGAGTGGCGGCCCCGGGAGGCAGCCCCGCGCGGCACCCGCGGGCCGCGCCCGCTCGCGGCACCGGTGCGGCGCCCCTCGGGCGGCGCCACCACCGTGAGGCTGGCTGCTCCAAGGCAAGACCTGTGATGGTCCAACCTGCTCTAGCACCAAGTTCGAGCACCAAGAGAGTTCGAGCACCAAGAAGCTCAACCTTTGATGTTCCACCAGAAAGAAGTTCGAGCACCAAGAGAGTTCGAGCACCAAGAAGCTCAACCTTTGAGGTTCCACCAGGAAGAAGTTCGAGCACCAAGGAAGTACCGAAACTGGGGGGGGGGTCCACGCGCTGGGCTCTGGGAGGCGACACTCGCTCGACGCCGTTCCGATACTGCTCTGGATGCCCGCAAGTCTTTCCTGGAGCTGGTCCTTCAGTACGATGGGAGCAACATGAAACACGGCACGTCTTCTACGGGGCGTGGCTGCCTTCCAGCCAGCAGAAACAAAGCAGTGGTCGTGGTCATTTTCGATAAACTTGGCACCAGGGAAATCACCACAACCACTGCCTCTTTTTCGGCCGGCTGGAAGGCGGCGCAGACAAGAAGCAGTGGCTGTCGTGTCGGGCATCATGTTTGTCCCGCCCGCATCCTTCCCGTCCCGCATCTTCGTCGTGTCGGGCATCATGTTTGTCGTGGGGCTCCCCTCCGTGCTCGCCGCCTCCCGAGCGGCGCGCAGGACGACGCCGACCCCCCCTGCCCGTCGTCGAGCTCGACCTCGAGCCCGGGCTCGGCCCAGGCGCCGCGGGCCGGCGGCGGCGCCGAGGGCACCGAGGCCCTGGCAGGGGAGCGCGGGGGGGCGGCGGGCTCCGGCGGGCGGGGGGAGGCCTTTGTAGGTGGCATCGCTCGGGCGTGTGCGCGTTTGCCTCGGCGCGGGCCTCTGGTCCTCCTCCTCCTCCTCCTCCTCCTCCTCCTCCTCCTCCTCCTCCTCCTCCTCTGGATGGACAGTGCATGATCCCGCGCTTTGTTGCGGGGGCCGTGGATGCCGCGGCTGCTTCTGTGTCCGCCTCGTTCGCCGCTGGCGCCCCACCAGCCTGCGGCGGCACCGCCAGGGGGGGCTCATGGCCAAGCGAAAAAACACGAACGACATCGAAACCTGCACGAGGGATGAACGTCCGAGCGATGGCAGGGAAGAGGCCGTGTGCCATCCCCAGGCGACGATCGGCAGAGAAAAAATGGCTGAAGCATGAAGGTTTGGCGCTCCGCGCGGATTTCTTGGATTCGCGCTGGGCCCCCCCAGCGGCGCCTCTGGCGCCGCACCTGGCGCGCTCCGCGCGCCTTGGGATGGGTTTCTGGTCCAGATCCAAGAAATCCGTGCCGACCTCCAAAAGTGAATGTTTATGCCGTTCCTTCTTCATCTAGTTTTTCATCCCTTGGCAAGAAGAGGGTGTGGGAGGGGCTGGTCAAATAGCGATTCGCGCTGGTCCCGTCTGGGAATGCCCGACGGCGCCAGTGCGAGTCGTTACGTGACAAGGGGGGGAGGGCGGTGGGCTGGGCTGGTCACGGGCACAATCGCGAAACATGATTGCATCATGGGCTCTACAAGCGTTGAGCGCACTTTGGTCGTTTTATTTGCTTGCCATTTTTTATTTGTTTTGATCATCGGCGTTGCTGATACGTTGTGGGCGCCGTTTTTTAGGTCCTGGATCGGCCCTTCGTATCACCTGCCCGCCCGCTCTTTTCCAGCTTTTCCTGGCGCGCTCTGCGCTGTCACAGAACACAGCAACACTTGCTGGAGATATGCCTCCCGCCTGCCTGGCGCCCCTTTCCTGTGGTGCCGTGTGTTGGCATGCTGTGATCGAATCAAGAGCGAGAAGCGGAAAACTACGGCGTGGGGGGTTAATTAAGGAACGTGCACGGGTTTGGTATCGCTCGGACGCGTGCACTTGTTCTCGGCGGGGATCATTAAGGAGCATCCTGGATCCTCCTGCGAAAAAACCACGCACGAAACCGAACACACAGGGAATGGACGTCCGAGCGACGGGGAGCGGGACGCTTCAGACCTTGGAGGGTTCCTCATCCAATGAGGGCGGCGGTGATCTCCATGGCCGAGCCTCGACTGGAGTTCCACCAGCCTCCAGACCCGGGATTCCTTATCGAAGGCTTTCTTATCCCATGCCCCCACCGTAACGCGAGCAATCCCCCTCAGCGTCATTTCTGTACTCCAGATTTCGTAATAAAAGGGAGGGGGTCTGGACCCTCCAAGACAAGTCATTTCAGACCTCCCCCGTGGGAGAACCCTCCAAAACATCGTCCCCAGACCCCCCAGGCCCTCCAAGATAGCCTGGAAGGGACCCCCCCCGAAATGAGACCCCCCTCCCTTTACTACGAAACCTGGAGTAGCAACTCAGAGAAGGCCAGAGAGCGCCTCCGCCGCAGCCGCGACGTGGAGTCCGGCGGTGGCCTCGGACTCCGCGCGCCCAGCGTTCGTCCTCTCGCTTCGGCAGCGGCGTGCCACCACCCGCCACGCCTCGCCCGCCCCCCAGGAGGTGGCGCCCGCTTTCCCTCGCCTCGTGCGCCTCCTACAGTCGGGGCCCTGAAGAAGGAACCCTTTTCGTTGGGGAGGGGCTCGGTGTTCCTTGATTGGTTCAAAGTTTGCCTCGGGTTTTCCTGTGGCTTTCCATCGGAAATCGAGGTTGAACTTATGGGGAAAAGGGGCCTCGTTCCTTATTTAGTGTTCCTTAGGTCAACGCCCCGACTGTATTCTTTTACGCTTCACCGTCCCTCCCTTTCCCCCCTGCGCCCGGCTCCGTGGGGTGCGAGGAGGGCCCCTCGCTTTCCCCGAGCCCTACCGCTGATGGAGTGGGAGGACAGTGAAGTCGACAGCGACTACCCGCCTATTCTTCTTGTCTCTCTCTCTCTCTCTCTCTTTCGGTCTTCCTCTGCTTCTCTCCTTCTGGATCGGGCTCACTCGCTCGCTCGCGCTCTCTCTCTCTCTCTGTCTCTCTCTCCTCCAGCTCGGAATAATTTTCTCCCAACGCCGACGCCAGCTAGCAGCTGGTCACATGTCAGTGGGGGGTAAGGCGATGCGGGCTTGCACTGAAAAGCTTGAACCAGATCGAAGACGCCTACGGCGAATCACCGCCGCCCCCTGCCTTTTTGGAAGAGCCTATGTGGCCGAACGTCGAGGCCAGACCTGCCAAGCTATCGGACCAGGTGTTCCCCGAATCGATTTGGAAAGCCTTCGGGGAACACGTGGGCATCTTGAAGGTCATCTTGGCCGCCTGGAGGCCATTTCGGGCCTTCTTGGAGGACTGGAGGGCTCTTGGGCCGTCTTGGAGGCCATCTAGAGCGTCTTGGAGACCTCTTCGGCCGTCTTGGGGGCCTCTTGGGGCCGTGTCTTGGGCCTCTTGGGCGATCTTTGGGGGCACTTGGGCCGTCTCGGGCCGTCGGAAAGCCGAACAAAAAGCAAATGCCACAATCCTTCAAAAACTCATAGGAAATCAAGCAAGTCGCGCGTGCCCACCCGGCGGGACCGAACCAGAGCTGATGGGCTTGTTTTCCACCACCACCACCATCAGTTGGAGGGGGAGGGGTTCCTCCTCCTCCTCGTCCTCCTCCTCCTCCTCCTCCTCTTCGTCCTCCTCCTCCTCCTCCTCCTCCTCCTCCTCCTCCTCCTCATCCTCCTCCTACCCCCCTCCAACTTATGGCAGCGATGGTGGAAACCAAGCCCTGCAAGAGCCCTCCCACCTCAAGCTGCACGTGGCGCGCGCGCGCGCGTCCCGGAGCGGTGTCCGAGGCCCGCGCGCTCGGCGCGCACTCCCTGCGGGTTGCAGGAGTGGCCCCCCGCACGGGCGCCGCGGACCGCACGGCGGAGGCCCGTGCCGGGCAGCGCCATGCTTGCCTCCAGGGTGCCTTGGGCTCCTCGTGGGTTTCGGCGACTCTGCTGCGGAGAGCGTGGCGTGCCCACACCAAAACTCAGGGGACGCCCTGGGGCCTCAGGGGTGAGCTTCGTGCGGGAGGTTTCTTGTGGTCGGGCCCCTGCTGGCTTCGCGTCGCACCTGGGAGAGGGGGGGGCAAGCCAGGAGAGGCAAGCCCCTGCCATCCCACACCGGTTTCCACATGGCCGCGCAGGCGTCGGCGCATGACGGCCGGGGCCGGCGTCTTGGGGGCAGGTTTCGGAAGACGGAGTGCCCGCGCCCGCCGACACACTTTGGCGCACGTCTCGCACGAATCGGAACGTCGGAGGCCAGGAAATTACCAGTTTGAAACATCTCCCTATCCCTATGTTTGACATCACTTCACCTCGATGCCGATCTTAAGGATTCCCTCAGTTTCTGAGGGCGTATCCCTAAGATTGTCCTCGCTTTTTGCTCGCCCATCTTACGGATAGGGATACGTTCGAGGCTGGTTAGGAGAGTTTTCTTTACCTCAGGATAATTCACTGCTAACCCACATCGGTATACATATATATATATATATATATATATATACATAGGATAAGATTTTCACATATACACATATATATACACTTATACGACCACAATTCGGGTGATAAGGAGGTTGTGGAGGGGGGAAGACAGGGGGGGAACTAGCATCTGACTCAATCGATGTCACTATCGATCTCCCTCAGCGGGACACCGCGGGACACCCCGGGACATTTGTCGATCTCACGATCGATCTCACTATCGATCTCACTCAACGGGACACCACGGACCACCACGGGACACCACGGGACATCGAGGGACATCTTTCGATCTCGCTATCGGTCTCACTATCGATCTCACTATCCATCTCACCCAACGGGACACCATAGGACACCACGGGATACCACGGGACACCACATCGATCTCACTATTGATATCACTATCGATCTCACTCAACGGGACACCACGGGACACCACGGGACACCGGCGGGACACCTGTGGCGGGACACCGGCGGCGGGACGCCGCAGGCCACCGGCGTCTGGAGGAGAATCATTTGGTCCGGCCGCGACCCAGCCACAGGAGGATTTCGGGACACCAGCGGGACACCAGTGGGACAGCGCGACCGGCCGCCGGAGGACAAGCATTTGGTCTGGTCGCGGCCCAGCCACAGGAGGATTTCCTTTCGCCCGCCCACGCAGCTTCGCCTCGCCCGCACGCACGCACGGCATGCACGACACGAACCCGAAACCGAAATCGATTTCCCGGTAGGGGGGGTCTCCGTTTCACGTCTGGCTCACCCCCCAACCTCCGATATATATATATATATATATATATATATATGTATGTATATATATATACATACATACATATACATATACATATACATAAACATATATATATATATATATATGCACACATAGACATAAATATGTATATATGTATACGTATATATATATATATATGTATGTATAACAAAAGTCGGCGCCTGCGGCGGGCTCGTCGCATAAATTGTAAGAATTAGACCCTTTCGGCGGGCTTCGTCAGAGCCTCGCAGACTGCCGACGTCCCCGCCGCCCTCTCGCCCTCATCCGCGACTGCGGGGTGCTACGTATATAAGCGCCCTGACTGGTGGCGACGAGGACCCCCCCCCTTCCCTGGAGGCCCACGCCTCGGTGGCGGCGGGGTGGGGTGCGCGCGCGGCCGCATGAGCTCCGCCGCCGAGCGAGGTGGCACCGGCCGCACCTTTGGGGAGGGCACCTCCCCCGCTCCGCGGATTTGGCGACCGCGTGCCATAAATCCATGGGTTGCGCGCCCCCGCCAGCCGCCGATGCGAGGCTTTTTTCGTCCGTGGCCCCAGAGGCCCCGACCGCCCGAAGCCGCTTCCCCCGGGGGGCGGGTGCCCCGCCCCGCCGGGGTCCACTGCTGAGGGCCTCGGCTCCGCGCAGGAGGGAGCCGCCGCGGGTGCGGCACGTGTGAGGTACATACAGTCAACCCGCATGGCAAGGATTGGCAGTCTCAGGCCGACCTTGAGTGCAGCGCCGAAGGAGGGTAGCAGCAGGCAGGGAGCAGCTTGCACCCTCTTGTCTCCGCAGCCTTCTGGGATCACAGGCTTTTTTTGCCCGGCAGGGGCGAGGGTTCCACCTGAGCCAGGCCTAGCGGCGGGCCTGGCGCTGGAGAAAACATCCATCTCAGAGAGTCCCGCATGGTCGAGATGGGCAGTCTTCCCCAGGGCACCTTTGCATCCTTGCCACTTCGGCCCATCCTTGGCGACTTCCGCCGGCCAGCCTCGCTCGAAAAACGTTCGCATGGGCCTCCAAGGCCTCCAAGGCCCCTGCATCCTCACTGCGCATTCTTACGACACGGATGGACTGCACCGCGGCACGAGACACGCCAGGACCGGACAGATCACGGCGTCGGAGCTCCGGCGTGGCGGCGGCGCGGCGCGCGCGCGCCGCGCCGCCTGCCCGAGAGGCCGCGGCGTCGGCGGAGTTGGCCTCGTGGCTGCTGCAGGGCCAGCGGCCGGACCTCGCGGGCGCACCGCCGCAGCTTGGCGCGGACGGCGCGGCAGCCGCGCGGCGGCCCGGGCACCTGGCCGCTGCGGTCCTCGGCGGCGCGGCGGCAGCGGCGCAGCGGCGGCGCGGCGGTGGCGACGACGACGACCTCGTTTTCTTCTCGCTCCCTCCTCGCTCGCTGCCTCCTCGCTCTCTCTCTCTCTCCCCGCTCCTCGTCCCTCCTGAACTCCACGCCTCCTCCTCCACCCTCCTCCGCCTCTCCCCCGCCCCCTCCTCGTGCTGCTTTGGCTCATCCCCTTCTCCTCCTCCTCCTCCTCCTCCTCCTCCTCCTCCTCTCCTCCTACTACTACACTAGACACTACTAAACCTTTTTTTTAAAAAAAAAAAAAAACTACTACTACTCTACTACTACTACTATACTACTACTACTACTACTACTACTACTCTACTACTACTACCACACCACCATACCACCACCACCACCCACCACCACCACACCACCACCACCACCACCACACACTCACCACCACCAACACCACCACCACCCCACCACCACTACTACTACTACTAACTACTACTCTACTACTAACTACTACTACTACTACTACTACTACTGACTACTACTACTACTACTACCCCTAACTTTAAAAAAACTACTACTACTACTGCTACTGCTGCTACTACTACTACTACTACTGCTGCTACTACCACTACTACTACTACTAATTATTACTACGACTAATCACGACTAGTCTAATCACGACTACTACAGCTTACTACGACTACTACTGCTACTACTACTGCTACTAACTACTACTACTACCACGACTACCTACTACTACTACTACTACTACTACTACTACTACTACTACTAACTACTACTACTACTACTACTACTCCTACTACTACTACTAACTACAACTACTACTACTACTACTAGGAAAGAGCGCCAGTGGAATCACCTGGAGACACAAAAGAGGTGTGTGCTCCAAGGGACCCCCCCCCCCCCCCCTCGCCCCCCGTAAGGGGGGGGGGGGGTCCGAGAACCCCCCCCCCCCCTTTCCCCCTTTAAGGGGGGGGGGGGGGGTTCGAACCCCTCCCCCCCCCTCCTTTGAAGGGGGGTGGGGGGTTCGGAACCGCCTCCCCCCCCCCCCCCCTTACGGGTGGGGGGGGGGGGGGGGGGTCGGAACCCCCCCCCCCCCTCCCCCCCTTTCCGCAGGGGTCCGGTGCGAGCGAGCCGAGCGCGCGGACTGTTGGACGTAGGGGCCGTCGGGGGCAGGACTCTGAAAGCTTTGCGGGTGTGCGGGCGGGCCCAACAGTCTGCGCGCGAGGCGAGCGAGGTTTAGGGTTTAGGGTTAGGGTTCGGGGTTAGGGCTTAGGGTTTAGGGTTTAGGGTTTAGGGTTTAGGGTTTAGGGTTTAGGGTTTAGGGTTTAGGGCCTGCATTGGCGCAAGCGCGCGCTGGCTGCGATCCCCCCACATCAAGGTTGTTGGGGGGGATCGCTGCCCAAGCCGCGCGCGCCACGGTTAGTCGCACTCCCGCCCCAGACCACCCAGAGTGAAGCCTTTTAGGGTTTAGGGTTTCTCCCCCCAACCCCCCTATCACGGGGGGCTGTCGAAGTGGGGCGCGCAGGCGATCGCCGACGCGGCCGCGGCACTGCGCATCCACTTGAGCATGCGCGCAGGGCGCGTGACGTAGGCGGCGCTTCGGCTCGTCGCCTCGTCGAAAAGGCAGCCTTTGGCGATTTCGGCGTTGAGCTTCGCCGTTGGGCTGCCGCTGGCGCAGCATGTCCATGCGTTGCTGCATGTGCCTTCGGCACTGGGTTGCGACACTGGGGTGCGAATGCTGGGGAGCGCGCGTGCGGTCGCGGCCGTGGCAATGCGCGCCCATGCGAACCCGCGCGCAGGGTGCATGGCGCTGGCGCGTCATCTCGCCTCGTCGATGAGGCAGCTGTTGCGCCTTCGGCAGGGGGCTTCGCTGCGAACACGCGCGCAGGGTGCATGGCGCTGGCGCGCCAGCTCGCCTCGTCGATGAGGCAGCCGTTTGCGCCTTCTGTGTGGAGCTTCGCCGTTGGGCTGCCGCTGGCGCAGCAGATCCACAGGGGTCCGGCATTTGCCGTCGGCATTGGAAAGCAGCACTGCAAGGGCGCTGGCGTGACAATACTATGGGTTCCCCTGCGCCTCAAGCGAGTGGCTGCGCCGTCGGGCTCCTCGCTGACGGCGACGCGCACGGCAGTTGCATTCGCCCGCGGCTTTGGGTTTCGCCTTTGGGGTCGCCCCCGCTGAAGCGATTGCAATCATCGACGCAGACGCTGTCGACGCGAGCTTCGGACGGCGGGAGGAGGAGCGCGAGGGGGTGGGTCTGGCACCCCCTCGCTACGATGCGCGCGCATGGCTGCGGCAGCACGTCCATGGCAGACCCCCTGGAATGCCTTGGGGGAGCTCTCTGGGAGCGCTGGGGGAGCGCCTCGACCTTTCCCCAGGATGGAAGCACGTGGGAGCGTCTATGGCTGCTGCAGCACCTCCATGGCAGACCTCTTGGAATGCCTTGGGAGAGCTCTCTGGGAGCGCTGAGATAGCGCTTCGAGGTTTGTCCATTGGGCAGGACCGTTGGCGTCGCCCCCGCTGAAGCGATTGCATCGTCGACGCAGCCGCCTTCGGCGCGAATGTCGCACGGCTGGAGGGGGAGCGCGAGGGGGTGGGTCTGGCACCCCCTCGCTACGATGCGCGCGCATGGCTGCGGCAGCACCTCCATGGCAGAGCCCGTGGGATGCCTTGGGGGGGCCCTCTGGCAGCGCTGGGAAAGCGCCTGGAGCTTCCCCCAGGAGCCCTGGGACTGCCTGGAACCGCCTGGGCACGCTTGGGAGCGCGCGGGAGCGCATGGGAGCACCGCGTGGCGCCTTGGAGCGCTTGTGGGTGCTGAAGAGCGCGTGGGAATGCTTGGGCGCCTGGTAGCACCTGGGAGCGCCGGGGAGCGCTTAGGAGCGCTTCGGAGTTGTGGCAGCGCTGGGAACGCTGGGGAGCGCCTGGGAGCGCGCCAGGAGCGTGCCGGGAGCGCTTGGGAGCGCCTGCGAGCGCCTGGGAGCTCCTGGGGGCGTGCCGGGAGCGCTTGGGAGCGCGTGGGAGCGCCTGGGAGCCTGGGAGCGCGTGGGAGCGTGCCGAGAGCGCCTGGGAGCGTGCCGGGGCGCCGTGGAGCGCTTGGGAGCGTGCCGGGAGCACTTGGGAAAGCTTGGAAGCGCTTGGGAGCGCCTGGGAGCGCCTGGGAGCGCCTGGGAGCGCCTGGGAGCGCCTGGGAGCGCCTGGGAACGCCTGGGAGCGCTTGGGAGCGTGCCGGGAGCGCTTGGAGAGTCCTTGGGAGCGCTTGGAGCGCTTGGAAGCGCTTGGAGCGCCGCATGCGGTAATTTCATAGGTTTGGAACACCCAGGGAGCGCCGCATGCTGTATTTTCATAGGTTTAAAGCCCCAGGGGATGTAGGCGCGCGCAGCGAACCCTACGGCTGGGCTTTGGGTTAAGGGTTCTTTCTCTTCTCAGATGCACACCCACGGGGATGCATGCCCGCGGGATGCGAATCCTCCTCAGCGGCTATCGCCGCTTCGTCGGTGCCGCGTTCGCGCATGGGCGGACTCGCTGATCGCTCGGCCAGGCGCCACGGGCTTCTGACGATGCACCGCCCGTGGCTTGCAGTTTAGGGTTTAGGGTTTAGGGTTTGGGTTTAGGGTTTAGGGTTTAGGGTTTAGGGTTTAGGGTTTAGGGTTTAGGGTTTAGGGTTTAGGGTTTACACAACGTATTAGCGTCTGCGGACCTCGCGGCGGTTTCAATTGGGGTGCGCTATCGCGGAGAGCGCTTCCGTGCGTGCCCGCTCGAAGATCGCGCTCCCTCCCGCGCGGCGTCTGTCTGCCTGCGCTGTTCCGAGAGCGCTTCCGTGCGTGCCCGCTCGAAGATCGCGCTCCCTCCCGCGCGGCGGCTGTCTCCCAGACGCCCCAGAAGCGCCTACTGCGCGCCTTTCGCGCGTGCCCGATCGCAGGCGCCGCGCCTGCTGCGGAGCGCGCTGCGCGCGCATCTAGGCACGTCGCGACGCGGGCGCGAAATGCAGCGACTGCGGCATTCCCGCCAGCTGCGAAGCGCGATGCGCGCGCTCCTGGGAGCGCCTGGGAGCACATGGGAGCGCCTGGGAGCGCCTGGGAGCGTGCCGGGAGCGTGCCGGGAGCGTGCCAGGAGTGCGCCCGGGCGTGCCGGGAGCTCCCGCCAGCTGCGAAGCGCGCTGCGCGCGCTCCTGGGAGCGCCTGGGAGCACTTGGGAGCGCCTGGGAGCGCCTGGGAGCGCTTGTGAGCGTGCCGGGAGCGTGCCGGGAGCGCCTGGGAGCGCCCGGGAGCATGCCGGGAGCGCCCGGGAGCCCCTGGGAGCGCTTGGGAGCGTGCCGGGAGCGTGCCGGGAGCGCCTGGTCCTGCTTGGGAGCCCTTGGGAGCACTGGGAGCGCCTGGGAGCGCCTGGGAGCACCTGGGAGCGCCTGGCAGCGCACGGGAGCGCTTGGGAACGCTTGGAGCGTGCCGGGAGCGCCTGGGAGCGCCCGGGAGCGCGCCGGGAGCGCCCGGGAGCGCGCCTGGGAGCGCCTGGGAGCGTGCCGGGAGCGTGCCGGGAGCGTGCCGGGAGCATGCCGGGAGCGCCTGGGAGCGCCCGGGAGCGTGCCGGGAGCGCCCGGGAGCGCCTGGGAGCGCTTGGGGACGCTTGGGGGCGTGCCCGAAGCGTTTAGGAGCGCCTGGGAGCCCTTGCCTGGGAGCGCTTCGGGGCGCCTGGGAGCTTCGAGACCGCCTGGGGGCGCCGGGAGCGCCTGCGAGCGCCTGGGAGCGTGCCGGCGTGCCGTTCCGGAGCCGCTTCCGCTCGCGCCGGCTCGCTCGGAGCGTCGGATATGCTTCGGCGCGCCCATCAGGCGCTCGCGCAAGCTTGCACTGGGCTCGCTTACATCGTTCGGCATGATATCGTTTCACTGTCTTTCGCAATGGCACCATTCGAGCTTGCTCAATACGTGGTGTTTTTTCGTCTTGAGGGTTTAGGGTTTAGGGTTTAGGGTTTAGGGTTTAGGGTTTAGGGTTTAGGGTTTAGGGTTTAGGGTTTAGGGTTTAGGGTTTAGGGTTTAGGGTTTAGGGTTTAGGGTTTAGGGTTTAGGGTTTAGGGTTTAGGGTTTACGGTTTAGGGTTTAGGGTTTAGGGTTTAGGGTTTAGGGTTTAGGGTTTAGGGTT